AACGCATTCGTAGGAGCTTAGACCATTTGCATTCATCTTTACTCCAACATCGAGCTTGTTTGAAGTACTCTCACAATGTCCATACTGGCGTGACCAAAGCGCTGGTGAAGCAGCTCCATGCTTTTCTTGCTGTCAAAACTCTGCTTCAATGCCGCCATCACCATTACACCAGGCACCCGCTCAGTACGTAGACGATATATGGTCTCGTGTATTACAAACTTCAGGATAGTCCCAGGCTTGGACATCCAGGCCGTACACTGGTCATGCGAGCACGTCAGCTTGTACTTCCCGGTCATCTGCAGATAGCCTAGGCTGATAATGTTCACTTTACCGTTGGGAGTGTACACCACGTCGTCCAGTAGCCGAACCTCCATCATTCCAGTTGCCTGGTTCATCCCACGCAGTAGTACAAAACCACAGACAGACGCATGCTCAGTAGTGCCGTTAGCAAAGGCGAGACGACTTGCACTGTCCTCACGTATCGTATGGTAGTGAGCAGAGCAAGGTCGCCACATACATTGACCTGGGATCCAGAATCGAGGATCCACTCGACCGCATCGCATTGAATACCTTAATTGTGGGCAACTGCATTGACTTGCCATGATCTGGTTGATCCATCGCAGGGTGGACCAGCAAATCGACGTGGAGAACGCCGAGGTGACACATAACGTCTACGATTACCATCACGGTAACCATGCTCATCATAACTTCTGCCACCACTACGAGGAGGTGAAGGACCACGCTCACGAAGGGTGGCCCATCACCCCACTGCTGCTGCTGGGGCAGCTGCGGTCCATAGCGACTTGGTGAGTCATCACGCCACTGCTGTCGTGGCTGAGGTCCATAATGACTGGGTGGTCCACGAGGTGGCGAGCTCAAACGTCCACCCCAACTCGGTGGAGGTGACGAACGGCGTCTCGGTGGCCCCCACGGCAACGCATCAGTGCGTCCACGAGGTGGCGATCTGCCACGCCAACCTTGCATACCAGGTGGTGGCCGACTGCGTCCTCGATTGAAGTACATAGGCTCATCACGAAGTGGCGAACGTCCACGTACTTCACGTCCGTACTGACGTCCTTGCTGATATGGACTCGGTTGCATCTGATTCCCATATCTTTCGTCATGTCCTTGGCTTCTGAGTATGTCCGAATGGATCCCTTGAATGCCATCTCCGCGCACGAGCGGACCCCCTTGTGATTCACCCTTGTTGCGCTTCGGCTTAGGCAAAGGTTCAACATTCGACACGCCCTTCAGCTCTTGACTGATATGGAGCAGTATCTTCTGCCAGGTAGGTACTGATCCTTGAGAGTGGACGCCCTCTCACTGGTGTTGTACAGCGTCCGTCACAAGTATCTGCACTGCTTGTTGAGCTGCAACATCAGCTAGAACAGGTACTGCAGGCGGCTTCTCTTCCAACTCCAATTGTTGCGAGGTAGCCAAAGTACCATTGGGGAGGTTCAGTCTTGCTTGATCATCGTCATCCGGGCTCGCAGGAGACTTGGGCGAGTACACTGGTGACGCCTCCGCATCGGGTGACGCATTGCCAGTTAGGTCCACAGTCTCCGTGTCACTTGCCTCACACAACAACACTCCATCAGTCAGGCCTTGTGCACCACTCTCACCTTGAACGACTTGCACACGACGAACAGAGCCAACGAGAGAAGCAGGTGGCTTCCTGCTTTGCTTCTTCTCTGTCAGCTTTCTCGCTAGTTCTGCCTTGAGTGGTTTGCCTGTCTGCTCCGTGCATTCAGCGTACCAGTGACCGTCACCACTGCAGTTGGCGCACTGGGTACGCTGCTTCCTGACGGCCACAGCCTTCATTGGCTTGCGTTGCAGCTTGCCGCGCTTGCGATTGTTGCCGTTACTCCTACTTGCACCTTGACCACCAGCGACATAGGCCACCTGCATAGGGCGTGCCACAGCAGTAGCCGGCTTCGACTGCAGCTCGAGCTGGTTGCGCTGGTGTTCAGCCGACCGGAGTCGCTGCAACGCCTCTGTCAACTTCAATGATTTGCGATCATTACTGTTAATCCAGTTGCGTGTTCTCGAGCGAGGTCACGGAACACCAACACGACGTTCGACAACAACAGGCTGGCGTGCTGCCATTCCTTAAACTCGCCCTTGGCCTGACGCAGCATCGTCACCTTGCGCTCGATGTCGTCGACGTACACCGCTACAGACTCGTTCGTCTGCACATCCTTGTCATGAGATCTCGCATCAGGTAATCGGGATTGATTCAGTCGCCAGCCTCGAAGTGCTTGGTAATGTAGGTCCACAGGATAGACGCAGCCTCCATGTTGTCCCTCATCTCATCAATCTTGAATGTGGACCTTAAGTCCACTGACAGCGACAGTACGAGTGCAGAGAACGCCTTGTTCTTTCGTGCGCAGTACCATTCGTTGTACTTGGGTCTGTGGTATCCGAGCGCAGCGTCAAAGTGCTCACCACCGTACGTAATGGCACCAAGTGTGCGTGGCTCAAAGTGTAGCGGCAGTTCGCTGCGCCACGCCTTGTAGTCGGCCTTGGTCACGAGCTTGGGCAGCAGGATGTCCGGAGAGTTCCGCAGTGCCTTGGTGTACTCCGCCAGTTCCTTGTCGTCGTATCTCCCGCCGGGGGAGGTGTAGTCCGTGCCCGCTTCCTCACGTCAGTGCTCGCTTGCTCCACAGACGTCGCGCTGTTCCTCTGTATGGGGCTGCCGTTGGTTTGAGACTTTCGCAGAATGTAAATCTTGAATATTTTTTAAGCAACCTTCGGATGAAAGGTTGACTTTCCGTAATGAGCGAATGAAACGCTCAACCTCGTTGTGCGACAGTGGTGTGTCACCACCCACAGTCGCATTTCCAGCCAATCCTTGCGATCCTTGACTTTGATTCGACGAAACTTCCGCTTGGTCTCTCGAATCGTTGTTGTTCACACCAGCTGACACGCCAGCCGAGTCCTGCGCCCTGATTGGGCCCATAACCTGAGGTAACGCAGGGCACGTCACTGGGCTGCTCTCAAGCTGTTTATCTCTTCTTAGAGGAGGTGCCGTAAGGCAACTGACACTATAGTAGCAGTAGAAGTAAGAGCAGGTAGAAGAAGTACGTTTAACACAGTAAGTACCGGGGCAAAGCTCGACAGGACCGTGGCGTTTTGGTGTGGGGCAGTTGCTTGCTGCAGATAGCAAAAGCCGAAGCGAAACACTGCCACACACCCGAGCGCCAGCGTTCCGCAAAGTAGATTAGTTAATAGTATCTTCTAGTAAGTCTATAGTAGACATTAATAAGGTGCCGTCCACTGCGGCAACACTTGTGCAGTGGCTCACTGCCAACCATGTCTCGATGCATACAAACATCAGTATGTTTGTACTCGGTCCCGCTGCAGTTGCGAAGCCGGAGTGCAGCACAGGTGCGTACGATTGAGAGCAGGATCGGGACTTGTACCGTAGCATGTATCGTAGGGACTTCAACTCACAGGTGTTCATGTGTACATGAGACTGCGCAAAACAAAATGATGCTTACGAACCTAAGTACGAATCGCGATTTAAGCACTCTAAACGAAAGTGGGGCGTCTCCTCTATCTATTGAACCATTATAAGCTACAGAATGTGTAAAAATGAAAAAGTTGTGGTCGCTCAAAAATATAATCTCCATTTATTGGCCTTCGAAATGACGACGATACATTTAGGTGGTTGCTCAATATTTTTCAATTTTAGAGATTCAAGTGTTATTTAAAAGCCCTTGCTAAAAACAATTGAATAAGGACAGTTTTTTCGATGGTAGTTTACAAAAGATGTCACAGTTTCGGTTAAGTGCGAAAATCAATTGGCCTCGATAACTCTAGTACATGTCATGTACTCGAGGGCAACCTGTCTCTATGCCGATGCCGCATGCGTGCCACCTCGGAGTCCAAGTCGGATGATCAGGTCTCGTCGGGTTGCGTGCACATCCAAACAATCATCAATTCCAAATCTCCCGGCAGCCTCTGAAGACACAACTCAGCACTGTACTGTACAATGTTCGGTAATCGTCTCCTCTTCACACTCCTCTCCACCGCTTTAGCGGCGACGACTGCCGCGACGGATTTTTCCAAGCTCCCCGTGTTTTTCTTCCACGGCGTCCGTGGCAACCACTCCAGCGGTGACAACTACGTGGCGAAGCTTTCCGTTGAAGGTCGTACTGTGGTGCCACTGTCATTTTGCGAGACGACGTGCTCCCTGGAGGCAATTGTACTGCAAGTGCCAAAGGCGATAGCTCAGGTCCGTGAAATCGTTGCCAACAGCTCGACATTCGATGACGGCTACATCTTTATCGGGCACTCCCAGGGCGGCTCTATTGAAGTAGAGAAGGTCCCGGACCAGAGATCTGTGGATGATAGGCGCCGAGCAGCGTAATCACCTGAAAGGCAAGACATAGATTAGTAGGGATAAGGAATCTAATCTCACTCTCTCTTTTGCGTAGTTAACCACAAGTGCGCCAGAAGTGCAGCCCGTCCAAGGACAGGGCTTCAATAGGTCTTGAGCCCAAAGGACCAGAGCCACAGATGAGGCCATCGGCGATGGCGCGCCAGCGCCGACGTCGACAGTGCCCGTTGCCAGTCGCGAAAGGACCGGCATGGCCGACGACACAGAAGAGATGAGCACCGCCGTGGCCCACGAAAGGGGTAGCGGCAACAACGCCGACGCTAATGCGCCGGCGACCGGGGGAACCGCCGCAGAGCTGATGACGCTCTTGCGGGGCGTAGCGGGACAACTGGAACGGCTTGAGGAGTCGCAGACCAAGCTGAAAGAGTCGCATGAGAAGCTTGAGAAGCAGTTGGACGATCAAGATACAAGGCGTGCGCGCCTGAATCGCCCTTCGACACCACCCATGAACTCTAGTCTGTTTGCGTCTGGACTGGGCCGCGGGACAAGAATGCATATCGACTCGTTAGGTGGGTCGCCACAGACGCCGCTCACAGTGACGCCGCGTAGGCCAGCTGCTGCACCACAGTACTTCGGACACCAGCAGCCTGGCTACGGCATGCCAATGTCTGAGTTGCAGCGCCTGTACGCCGCAGCGCAAGGAGCGCAGCCGGCAGCACCAGCACCAGCACCAGCGCCACCACGAGATGGTCGGGCACAGGCTGGAGGCGAGCATTTCCAGCAGCAGAATCTAGGACTCCGCTACCCGGACGCGAGACAGAAGAAGCTAGCAATTAGGCCATTCGACGGCAAGGAGTTGTACGTGGGACTCGGATCCGGATTCCTCGAGTGGGGTCGACGCTTCGAGAGACAAGTTGCGTTGGCGCAGTCGGCATGTGGGTTCGCGTGGCCGGAAGATGTGAAGGTGGATTTGCTGGGGCATTACCTAGCGGGGACTGCAGAAAGGTACTATAACAAGCAAGTAGATGCCTGGTGGACACAGCTGCCCACACTGCAATACGTCATAGAGAGGAGAGGATGCTCGAGACGTTCAAGACCAACATCACCCCTGCGCAAGCAATGAAGTTGCTCACTGCGCCGAAGGAAGGCAAGAGATCGTGGCCCGAACACTATATGTACTTGGTCGCCGTATCAGAGACATGCGGTGGCGGGGCAGACTACCTTGTGCTGAACAACATCGTGCAGTACGCGTCCGCGGACTTGCGTACAGTGCTAATGGCCAAGGTAGATGGGACAAGAGCGGACTACTTGCAGCAGGCTGAGGAGTTGGCACACTTCGCGCAAGCCTGGGAATTAGAACCTGCCAAGCACAAGAATCTCGGCAGAGAAGTCGTGGGCGCCGCGGCTGAGCGCCGCGGCAAGGAGACACGCACCTGCCATGAGTGCGGGAAAGTTGGACATCTGCGCGCAGCATGTCCTGAGCGGACGCGAGGGGGCGGCAGGAAGCCCGACCTCACGCTGTCTGTAGGAGAAACGTCGGACGAGTCCGACGTGATGTGGATCTTGGACAGCGGGTCCAGTCGGCACTTCGTGAGCGATGCGTCGTGGCTGGATGACGTCGAGGAGTACTTGGACGAGTGTGTACAGCCAGACGGAAATCCACTCAAGATCAGTAAGAAAGGGACTCTCACGCTGCGCGTCATGGCGAGCGGGACGGAGCAGATCGTGAAGCTCATGGACGTGTATTACGCCGAGAACGTTGTGCACAACTTGATCTCCTACGGCCAACTTGACAAGAAGGGGTATACGCTGACATACCGAGACGGACGACGCGTCGTTGCCGGTGTAGACGGAGGGCGAGTAGCATTTGACGTGGATCTGCGGCATGGCGTGCTAGTCGTGCCTGCCGTCGTAAAGCGGAAAGGAGGAGCCCCATCGGGAGTAATCATGGCGGCTCTTGATCAGGCTGAGGCTGAGGCCGAAATGGGGTCGGGTGACGTGCAGAAGGACACGTTGGTGGAGTTCCACAAGAGGTTTGGACACTTAAGCTACGACGCAGTTGAGAAACTTGCACGGGACTCGAGCTCGGGCATCGTCATCACGGACCATCGCCGCGTCAACTGCTTAACCTGCGCGCAGGGGAAACAGACGAAGAACCGGCAGTCGCAGAAAGATACTGGGGACCACTCGCCGATTGATCGAGTTGGTGGAGTAATCTGCTCGGACCTGAAGGGTCCGATGACGCCGCGAGATCGTCTCAATAACCGCTACATGATAAACTTCGTCGATCATAAGAGCAATTACTGCAGAGTGTTCCTGGCGCTAACGAAAGATGCTGCCGCCAAGCAGTTCGAGCATTTCCTCACGTGCTTTGAGAAGCGTTTCGACTGCAGGATTCATGTACTGAGGACGGACTCGGGTGGAGAGTACCAAAACGTAGACTTGTTCTGCAAGAAGACCGGCGTAGTGCGTCAGCGGAGCGAGGCCAGAAATCAGGTCAGCAACGGGAAGGCTGAGCGCATGCATCGGACCATAATGAACATGGCACGGTGCATGATCTTCGCCTGTGGACTGCCATTAAACTTTTGGGGAGATGCTGTACAGTACGCGGCCTACATTCTGAATAGGTCGCCGACTAACTCGAACCCGGGCAGAGCTTCGCCGCTGAAGATAGTGACGAAGCAGACACCGGCACTAGGCGAGATCGTCGTTTTTGGCTCCCCGTGTACTGTGTATAGAGACCCGCGGAACAAGAATTTCTCGCGGCGTGCTCAGCACGGCATGATCGTCGGGATTGGAGAAGAAACGAAAGGATACAGAGTTTACCTGCCAAAGGACCGCATGGTAGTCACAACACAACACGTGAAGAACATTGAGACGCTTAACAAGACCCAGAACGAGCAAGTGCAGCGGCTGTACCTGCAGGGTGATGACAGTGCTGTCGTGGATGAGTCCACGAGTGGATCTGCGAGCGCCGCTGAGGCGGCCACCACTGAGAGCGCGTCGGCTGGGAGCGGACGCGGGAAAAAAGGAAAGAAGCGATCCAAGCAGAAGAAAAACTGGCAGCAAGAACGTCACGAGACACTTTCGGTCGCAAGAAAGGCTGCGGAGAACACGGACGAGTCCGTGCAGCAGGAGGAGCCAGAAACCAGAGTGGTAAACAACGTGATGGAGGTAGATCCGAGGAACTACCGAGAGGCAATGCGCAGCCAGTGGCGTGAGAAATGGATGAAAGCCATGAAAGAGGAGCTCGAAGCACTCGAGGAAAATGGAGTGTGGAAGGTCACGCGACTGCCCAGTGGGGCGCGTGCACTGCATACAAAATGGGTTTTAAAGACGAAAAGAGATGCTGCAGGATTCATCGAACGGCTGAAGGCACGGCTCGTGGCCTGCGGGAATGAGCAAGAGTTCGGTGTGAACTATGGGATCACCTTTGCCGCGGTGATCGACATGTGCAGTGTGAAGCTAATCCTGTGCTTGGCCAGGAAGTGGAGAGTCCCAGCAAGACACGGGGATGTACCAAACGCCTACGTCAAGGCGGAGAAGGAGCCGGAACTGGACATCTACATTCGCCTGCCGCAGGGAATGGTCATATCGGAGGAAATTAAGAAGCAGCTGAGCGCCACGAGTGACGACGAGCTGGTCCTCGAGCTGAAAAAGGCGCTGTATGGATTAAAGCAGGCTGGGCGACTCTGGAGCAAGCTCCTCCACCAGAAGCTAGTAGACTTGGGATTCGAACAGAGCCTGACGGACATGTGCGTTTACTATCGACGGAAGCAAGGAGTGCTGGTCGTCGTAGGCGTCTATGTGGACGACCTGCTGGTCACCGGCACGGACCAAGACGCGGTGAATGCGTTCTTTGGCTGTGATCGAAGAAATGGACGACCACAAGGTCAAGCGCTACATCAGCACGGCTGGTCTCCAGAATGGTCAGTTTATCGGACCGGACAAGGTGGAAGTCTCAATCAAAAACGGCGCACCGTTCCTTTCCGCACTGGTTCCGCAGACCATGTTCAACTACAGCGCCTACTGCCCGGAAGATTTCTACGGCAAGATGCAGAAGGACTACGTGCTTTACTCGATCGAGAACCCTGACGCCCAGTACACATACTCGCAGTTCAACGTCAACCGCTGGCCTCAGTTTGGCAGCTTCTCCACTGCCAACTTCTTCCTCCCTGTTTACAACAACGTGAACCACTGCCTGCCGGGGGACAACCAATGCATTTCTGACCAGAAGCGTCGCAAGGCCAATTTCCTAAAGCTGGAGGAGGCTCACTTCTTTGCTTCGCCCGCTGATAACCGTATCATGCCTTGGCAGAGCTCCATCTTCGGCCGGTACTCGGAGGTGGACACGATCGATGAGATCGAGACCAAATTAATGAACCTGACCATTGTCAACATGAACGAGACCCTTGAATACACGTCGGACACCTTCGACCTGAAGACACTAGACCAACGCGGTGGCCTCTTCCTCCACGAGGTTGCTAACATTTCTCACAGCTGCTGGCGTGGAGACGACGGCAACTGCAAGTGGGAGCCGCTGTACAACGACCACCTGTACGCTGTGCTGCACTAAAGTGCCGCTCTACGAGTAGTATCTTATTTGACTACTTAGTGGTAGCAGGGCTCGAAAAAAATAAAAATGCCACGCTATTAATAGCGCGGGGGAAGATCGGATTTTACTGAAAGCGCGGCCTTATTATAGCGAAGGCTGAGATTTTCGGCAACTCAACGTCAGTGAGGGCCTCACTGAGGACGCAAGGTTTGCATGTTTGGAGTCCAAGGATAAAAGTGCTTGCGAATCCAGCTTGGACTGTCCAGCTTGGAACAAATCACTCGACTCCAAGTCGTGTGATTTGTTTTTAAGCTCTTTTTTAAAAAAAATAATTCCAGGTATACTGTACAGTAATACAAAGTGGTTAGGCGGCCCTGAAAAATCTGAAAGAGTTAAAAGAGAGTTGAAAGAGTTCAATTCGCCAGTCGGTTTTGAGTAAGAATATCAACGAAGGGATCATCATCTGGTAACCAAAACTGATATGGTCACTCTTTTGTCGTACATTTCCCAAAATAAAGCAAAAGGTGGTGGAATTCAGAATTACATACTACTTGTTCTTACTACGTAGTAGTAATGAAAGTGATAATATTGAGCTAAAATGGGAAATCAATGACAGCATGCCAGACCCCTCCGGACCCCCCTCTCCAACTTGGATATCGTCCGTCGAAGTACATGTAACATGTACTTTACATTGTACATTGTACATGTTACTTCGACGGACGACATTGAGCCAGTCTTCCGCACAACGGATTTTCACCAAGAATCTCTCAGTCGCAAGTCAGCACCATGACCCGTCGTAGTCTCTTTCTCGCCCTCATATCCTGCGTGTTTTCTAGTGTCGCCTCGGCTGCTTCCAGTCTTCCTGTTATCTTCTTCCACGGCGTCTTCAGCACTTATGAGGCCGGAGACAATTTTGTAGCCAACCTGACCGCCGAAGGTCGTACCGTCGTGTCGCTCTCGTTCTGCGATGGGTCATGCTCGACAGAGTCACTCCTGCTCCAGGTGCCCACGGCTGTGGAAACTGTTCGCGAGGTGGTGGCCAACAACTCGGTCTTCAAAGACGGTTATATTTTTATTGATCACTCGCAGGGCGGCCCCATTGCCCGTGCCGTGATTGAAGAAATTGACGATCACAACGTCAAGCGTTTCATTAGTCTGGCTGGTCTTCAGAACGGCCAGTTTATTGGCCCTGACAAGGTTGAGGTCTCCATCGCCAATAAAGCTGTGTTCCTGACCATGCTGGTTCCTCAGACCATGCTCAACTACAGCGCCTACGGTCCTGAGGGGGCGCGGATGGTATTCGAGTGCACGTTGAGGGGTTTTCGAGTGCAGACATTTTTGCCACGAAATGGCGGAATGCCGAGTGCAGATAACACATGGCGATATCGTCGGCTCTATACTTGTCTTGTCCGGTCCATGCTTGTTTGAATTTACTACACTGTCCTTGGGGCCGGATGCAGAGCTCACCAGGATGTAAGAGGAGAAAAATACATGTATTTGTGAGAAGAAAACATGAATGATCCTTGGATCCTGGTTCACTTCCTACACAAGGTACGCTGAGCTCCGCTAGTCCAGCCCTACGCTCACATGCTCAATGCCAACTGTCACTCCTGATCGTCTTAGCTGTTCAAGTCCTGATCGTCGTCGGCGTCACGGTCGACACTGCGGGGATGCGATTCGTGTGTGCTTGCGTGGGCGGCAGCACTCTTCGTAACATCGAGGCCAGTACGTCTTGATTCTACGATCAGCTGCACCAATTCCTGGCACTCTAGGAGGACTTGCTTGCCTCCCTCGAAGTCGACAAGCCATCTATATCTACCACCCCGACTTGAGTAGGCTTGAATTGTGCCAATCATGCTGATGTCTTCCGCCTGCTTATCGTTGCTGCAACATGTAGCTTACATTAGCTACGTCTGAACTAATGAAGGCAGAGCCTTGACGCATCTTCTTCCGTGCTCAAGCCTTAACCTCAGCAGTGCACTCGGTCATTCCCTCAAGTTGAACAAGGGACACTCGGTTTCACACCTTTCGAACAAAAAACTAACGGTGCACTCGATTTTCTGAAAAAAGCACTCGAAATTAATATCGTTCCGTCCTGAGGACTATTACGGCAAGATGCAGAAGGATTATGTGCTCTTCTCGATCGAAAACACTGACTCCCAATACACATACTCGCAGTTCAACGTCAACCGCTGGCCTCAGTTCGGCAGCTTCTCCACTACCAACTTCTTCCTCCCCGTCTACAACAATGTCAACCAGTGTCTGCCTGGCAACGACCAGTGCGTTTACGACAAGCACCGCCGCAAGGCCAACTTTCTCAAGCTGAAGGAGGCTCACTTCTTCACCTCGCCTGCGGATGATGTTATTATGCCTTGGCAAAGCTGCATCTTCGGTCGCTACTCGGAGGTGGACACCATTGAAGAGATTGAAGCCCAATACAATAACCTGACGATTGTGGACATGAAGGATACTCTCGAGTACACAACTGACACTTTCGGTCTCCAGACTCTGGAGAAGCGCGGTGGTCTGTTCCTTTACGAAATAGCCAACGTCTCGCACGGTTGCTGGGCCGCGGACGACAAGGAAACAGGTTGCTCTTGGGCGACTGTGTACGATCAATACATTTATCCGACGCTTGTGTAGGAAAGCGGGATTAATGTTGTGAGACCATCTTAGCCAGGTGTGGCTAGTACCGGATCAGAACTTTAGTTTCAAATTTTAAAACAATTGTCAGAAAAAAGGTTAAATTCGATGGTCCAAAAAATATTCCAGCGGAGCCTCTACAGATTAAAGCCCAAAATATCGGGGATTTCAACAGCATTTTGTGAAAATTACTAGTCAATTTCCGTCATGTTTTTTTTCTTTAGATTCGATCATATTTAGACAAAATTTGACAAATCGCCCAATTTTGTGATGTCACTACACCTTTGCCAGTCCAAACTGGCGGTAGTGTAAACCAAAGTGGAATGAAGTAACTAAAGTAACATTTAAATTTTGAAATTTAAATTAAAAAATAGTATGTAGAGCAACGTGGATTTAGTGTAACGCTAACTGGTGGTTTCGAGCCACTGCCACAACCAGACTTTCATCTCCACGCGCATGCCAAGAGAGCCTAAGCACGGCCTTGCCGCCAGGAAGCGGGTCCTGGACGCTCAGAAGGAAGGCAGGGACTGGATGCTACACCTTTGCCAGTCCAAATCGGCGACAGTGTAAAGCAAAGCGGTGTGAAGTAACTTAAGTGACAAAGAATTTTTAAATTTTTATTTCCAAAAATTGACTTTAGAGCAATGGCGATTTAGTGCAGAGCTAACTGGTGGTCGGCATCAAAATCTCTTCTTCTGGCATCATGCCAACAGAACCAAAGCATGGCCTCGCGGCCCGGACACGCGTTCTCGACGCACACAAGGCTGGGCAGGACTGGGCCTTAGTAGCCTATTGCAACGGAATTCCAGCTACAACGGCTCGGACTATCGTCGAGCGAGGAACCCCGGACATCAAGAAGAGAGGCGGCGCGCGGGCGACAAGCACTAAGTGCACGCCGGAGATGGAGGAGGCCCTCGTAGAATACCTGGAGGATAACTGCCAATACACACTCGTGCAGATGCAGGAGATGCTGCACTTCGACTTTGGAGTTCGTGTCAGCACCTCCACAATAAGTAAGAAATTGTGTGACAAGTTGTATACTGTGAAACAGGTAATAAGCTCTATTTTAATTTATATTTTATTTGTATTGTACTAATGACTAGTGTTTATTGCATAGGTTCGGGTTGAGCCAGAAACATGTAACAACGATGTGAATATCGAAAAGATAAGTGAGTTTGGTGAAGCATTGCTGGCTCATGAGCGCAAGGGGTCTTTCATTGTGTATTACGATGAAACAAATTTTAATTTGTAATGCAAACGTACACATGGCCGAGCTCCAATTGGCCAGCGTGCTGTTGTCAAGCTCCCGCCCTCCAAAGGAGCGAACCTGCAGCTGCAATGCGCCGTGTCACCTGAGGTGGGCCTGGTGCACTACGCTAAACAGAGAGGCAGCATTAAAATGAAGGTCAATGCTGCGTTTGTGGGCGCGGTGTACGAGGCGGTCAAGCACCACGACGTGTACCGCGACCCCTTCGCTGGCAAGACGGTTGTCATTGTCTTAGACAACGCTCCTGCTCATAGCCAGACTGAGGATCTGATTACTGAGCAGGAGGACTTGGAGCTGTTGCGGTTGGCGCCATACTCCCCCATGTGTAACCCGATTGAGGGTACGTTTTACAGACAATTATAGCGTGCACATGTACTAACATTTGTGTCTATTTTACTGTGCGACAGGGTGTTTTAGAGTATTAAAAGCACGCATTAAGGCTTATCTTGCCTTAAGTCATGACGAAATGTTTCTTGCTCCACACGGAGAGAAAAGAGAGCGCCGGATGCAGCTGCTTGAAAACGCTGCAGGGCATAGCTTGCCATGTATGGATCTGCGCTTGTTAACAAGATGGCGCGCCACTGTGCGTTGTCAATGGCGGCAGCTATTCGTAGCGAGCCTATGGAGTACGGCACGAAAAGTTTTGCACTACACTAAATCAACTTTGCATGACAGGCTTTTTCTAAAAAAAATAAGTTTCAAAAATTAAAAAAAAAAATTAATTACGGGACGCTCCACTTTGCTTTACACTGTCGCCGATTTGGACTGGCAAAGGTGTAGAGTGCAATCTAATAAAGATAAATTATATCTTTATGAGACCGCGCAAAACAAAATGATGCTTACGAACCTAAGTACGAATCGCGATTTAAGCACTCTAAACGAAAGTGGGGCGTCTCCTCTATCTATTGAACCATTATAAGCTACAGAATGTGTAAAAATGAAAAAGTTGTGGTCGCTCAAAAATATAATCTCCATTTATGGGCCCT